GAAAAGCAGGATTGGCAGACACAGCCAGTACTCTCCAAACTTCCACGTGGTAAGCCAGAGGACACTGAAGGCCTCAGACTCCAGATAAGCAAGACCAACACAAGGACCCACTGCCCTGAACCTCACCAGAAGAGAAGAGAGAGAGGTCTCTCATCTCCAACTTATTTATACTCTGGATTACGTAAAAATTGTATGGAATACTGGGAACATGGCCACTTCCTTGTTTGCAAGCTGGTCACCAGGAAGGCCTAGACCAAGCCCTCACAGTGAGCCACTCTTGGCAATCCATGCACACATGGAGCTTCCTGTGCTTTCACCTTTTCTCTGGGAGGAATCTTCATTCTTATGCCATTTGGGGACTCAGACTGACCATTTCAGCGCGGGGGTTCTGACACCAAACAAATAAAGTTCCACCCAGGAAAAAAAGCCCTCGCCTTCCATCTCTCCTGTGCAATTCATCAGCCACTCTTGGCACTCCATGCACACGTGCAGCTTGCTGTCCTGGCACCTTTTGTCTGGGTGATAAGATCTTCATTCTTATTCCTTCTGGGGACTCAGACGGGCCATTTCAGCGTGAGGGTTCTGACACCAAACAAATGAAGGTCCAGCAGACGACCCCAGGGGTTGGCTCAGGGCAGATTCCTGAACACAGGGACAAACCTGCTGGGAGTTACAGGGATGTCTGCAAACCCCCTGTGCCATGGGGGGTGCCAGTGGGGTTGGGAAAGGAGGAGAACACAGTGAGATCAGGAGCTGGAGGAGCAGCCCCAATGCTCCCAGCTCCCAGCCCTTGCCCAGCCCAGCAAAGCCCAAGCAAGCTCAGCCTGGAACTCCCAGCCCCATTTTCCCAGCTCAGGAGCTCTGTCAGAGAGAACAGGCCGGGCTGGGCGATTCTCCCTGGGCACTGGCTGTGCTGGAGCTCCCTGGGCTGGCTGAGGGAGGACCTCACCAGGACAGAGGTTGTGCTGTGGGAATGGTCAGTTGTTTGTGGATGTGTGTTGGTGAAATCAGGAGCACGCGTGGCTTGGAGCAGACGTGCGGTTGGGGCACTGCTGCTTGTTCTTTTTCAGATGATAGATGTCTTCTTCTTCCTCTTCCTCTTTGCTGTGTGGATGGTGGCCTTTGGAGTGGCCAGGCAAGGCATCCTGAGGAAGAACGAGCACCGCTGGGAGTGGATCTTCCGATCGGTCATCTACGAGCCCTACCTGGCCATGTCTGGCCAGTGCCCTGATGATGTGGATGGTAATTACCTCCTGGGGGGATCTCTGCTGGGTGGCTGGGTGGAAGGCTCTGTCCTTCAGGCCTGTGTTGACCTGTGTGTTGACCCTTTGCCTCCAGGTCTGATGGGGAGGCAGGGAGGGAGGAGGCCACACGAACTGGGGTCAGAGCAGAGCCCAGCAGAAAGTGGAGGAGAGGACTCACAGTTTGCTCTCCCCTCTGAGGTACCACCTACAACTTTGAGCTCTGCACCTTTTCTGGGAACGAGTCCAAGCCCCTGTGTGTGGAGCTGGATGCCAACAACCAGCCCCGCTTTCCTGAGTGGATCACCATTCCCCTTGTCTGCATTTACATGCTCTCAACCAACATCCTCCTCGTGAACCTGCTCGTGGCCATGTTTGGGTACGTAAGAAAGGAGCCATCACTTCCTTGGGATCTCTGGACCAGTGTATCTCTGGGAGGGGGAATGGAGTCCTGGAAAACAGCAGGAGGCCAGCCCTCAGGCTCTGCATTTCTCACAGCAGTCTGATGGAAGCTGGTGCAGTGTCCTGGGGAGGGATTAAGGTTCCTTCCAACCCAAACCAGTCGGTGACTCTGTGGCTCTGTGAAACCCTGCCCTGGTGCAGCACAGAAATGCTGTATTCCCTGGCTCTGATGGGGCTCTCGGAGTATCTCATCCTGGGGGGTGTTTTCTGTTTCTTCACCCATTAGTTACAGGGTTGGATCAGTGCAAGAGAACAACGACCAGGTGTGGAAGTTCCAGCGTTACTTCCTGGTGCAGGAGTACTGCAGTCGCCTGACCATCCCCTTCCCTTTCGTCATCTTTGCCTCCATGTTCGTGGTGATGAGGAAGTGTTTCAAGTGCTGCTGTCAGAAGGAAAGCAAAGAGCCATCCATTTGTTGTGAGTTGGATTTGTCCTCACTGCCCAGAAGCCGTCTCTGTGGCAGGTGCATTGCAGTTCCTGCTTGGCATTCTGTGCCCAATCCAGGCAGTTGGTTGTTTGCTGGGAAATTACCAAGGGCACTGTAAGACCTTGGAGGAGCTGGTTGTGCTGGAGG